TCATTGGTTGGGGGTTTGGCTGTGTTATGATTGGTTGGGGGGTTGGCTGTGTTCTGATTGGCTGGGGGTGTGTTCTGTTCAGGTGGGGGCTTGGTTGTGCTCAGGTTAGTCTTAGTTGCTGGGGGATTTGAGCTGGTGAGCTGTGATCCTGCTGTTTGGCTTCGCATTCATGGTCGTGCCACATCTTCATGGTGGGCGTCAGTTCGCTTCATGTATGGGTCGGAGGGGTTTGAAGCGCATAGTGATGCAGCTGCGATACGGCTTCTGGTCCGTGGTCGTGTCTCATCTTCTGTGTGGGTGTGAGTCTGCTTTCTACATGGAAGTGTGGTGGTAGCATCTTGTGTGGCCCTCGTGGGTGTGGGTCTGGTGTCATTCTTCATGTTAGGTACTCGTTTGTTCATGAGGGCGGGTTTCCAAATGGCTGGTAGGCGGGAGGTATCATCTCATTTATTCATGCTGTGTGGGCGTTTTTCTATCTCTATGGCTTCTCTGATTATTCTGTTGTTGAGGTGTTCGGTTTTGGCGATAATTCTGGTATTTTTAAAGTCAATCTCATGTCCTGTGGCTTTGAGGTGTTGGACCAGGGAAGAGGTCGGTTCTTCTTTTTTGATTGAGTTCTTATGTTCTTCAACGCATGCACTTATTCTTCTGTTAGTTTGTCCGATGTATGTGGTGGGGAAGGCGGTGCAAGGGATTTTGTATACTCCATGGTTTTCTAACTCGATTTTGTCTTTAAGGTTTCTTAGGATGGTGGATATTTTTCTGTTTGTGCAGAATGCTGTTTTAATGTTGTATTTTTGAAGGATCTTGCTGATTTTGTCTGTAGTGCCTTTTATATATGGGAGGAGGGCTTTGCCGTTCTCTTGTTCTCTGTCTTGGATTTTGGTCGGTGTTTCTTTTTGGATTAGGTGGGTAATCTTCTTTCTTTGGAATCCATTGGCTGTTAGTACATTAGTGAAGAATACAGACGAACACAATACAGAAGCCTGATGATGGCAGATGAGATTCTGCCGAAACGTTGCTACAACTTTAAAAGCACAACTATAATGATGTGGGAAAATACCCGAACAAAGCTGAATACCATACATATGTAAATATATATATGTATATATATGTGTATATATATATATGTAAATATATGTATGTATGTATGTATGTATGTATGTATGTATGTATGTATGTATATCTATATCTATATCTATATCTATATCTATATCTATATATCTATATTTATATCTATATGTATGTATGTGTATATATATATATATACTTCTTAGCTGGCATCCATAGTCATGAATGAGATTCATAACCCTGACCTAGGAGCCAAAAAAAGTTACAAAGGCTGGCTGGGAAGAATATCCTAATATTCTTCACATATTCACAAAATTCCAGATAGCTAAGAAAGCTGCCCAGTTGATTTCTTTATCTGGAGTCCTCTGCTTCCAAAGTCAAAGTGGAAGGCATGTATCATGAGGTTCAAATAGATCTAATCCATCACAAACAATGTCTATTGCTTTATGGAATACATTGGAAAGACATCAAACATAGAGAGTGAAATGATAATAGAGGCAGAAGCTTAAATACTTTCTGTTCGGGATTTGAAAATCCCTTTGGAAAACAGACTTGAGATCTGGACTTCCTCCAAGAGAAATTTGGAGCTGCAGCTGGTGAAGAATTCTGGATGACAACCGTATGCAGATAATAAACCTTTCAGAGGCATCTGAAACAGAAAGGGGTAGGAACCGAAAGCTGGCTGATTAACTTGATGTTCTGGCCAAGTGTATTTACTTAATAAAGCAATGGCAGTAGAGTATTAAGCATTGGCTGGTGTCTGAACAATTTCTGAGTTCAGATGTAAGTTCACCATACACTGATCAAAATGAAGAGACCCGAGCATGATGATAAAATAAAAGAAGTAAAAAATATAGGGCTACAAAGAGAAAAGAATCTGGCCATCTCCGCTTAGGATGCTGTTGGTTATTAGAATTATCATTTAAGAAATCTCTCTCCATCCCATTATGAGCTCAGTGGTAAGAGATCAAAGAACAAAGAACAAGGCTGAGAAAAGTCAACAAAACTTTGCAAAGGGGGGCGGCTATGCCTTCAGCTGTTCATATTTTGCTTTCTCCTTTGGAGCTGAAATCCTAAAAGATAGGAACTGCACCCAGCATAATTTCGGAATTTAACTAAAAAAGCTAATTTGGACGAAGGATGTATTGTTGTTGTTTTTAATTTAATTCTGCTACATTTCAAAATATTGCCAAAGATATTCTTAAATGCCTCCCTCCCCAAAATTTTAAATCATAGAAAAGTTTTTCATTTCATTTCATTTTCAGGTAATACCCCCCCCCCCCCCCAAAAAAATCATGTTATTTAAAATTTCAGCCTGTGTTGCAAACTTTTTTTTTTAGATGAAGCATTTTCCCCCATCTGGTGTCCTCTAAATATGATAAACTTTAATTTCCATAATATGTAAGCTACAATGGATAGAAATTATGGAAGTTAAACACAATTAGAAGGGCACAATTGCCAATCTCGCAACTGATTTCTTAGTCAGTAATCAATATTAGTCAAAAAACCCTGCATATGTGCATGATATGGATTTAATAGCAAATAGATTTCTTGCATCTGCTGCCAGCAAATATTTTATATATGCTTTTAAAAGAGAGAAAGGAATAATAATAAAGGAATATTCCACTTTTTTTTCTTATATAGTTTGAGTAATAGTTGACCAAGGTCTGACTGCAGTATTAGTGTCAACTTTTAATGATATATAGATGGATGTTATTGGATTACTTTTCCTCTTTTTACTGTTAGTGAAGTAAGAACTGAAAATGTAATTCCGCTGTAATGTAGTATCCATTGATACTGTTGTTTCAGTGGAGGAAATTAGCACACTAGGAGATTATGCATGTGTTAGGGTCCCCAACCTTGGCTACTTTAAGACTTGTGGACTTCAACTCCCAGAATTCTCCAGCCAGCATAGAATTTTGGGAGTTGAAGTCCACAAGTCTTAAAGTTGCCAAGTTTGGAGACCTCTGCTGTTACACAATACCAGCCTAGAAAACAGATGAGGTGACCAAAACAGGTAAAAAAGAAACCCACAACAGATACAAGCACAACATCTGGGTTGAGTTTTCAAACCAAACTGAGGTTTGAACTACCACATTGGTTTTATGATTTTGATGATACGGTGAACTGAATTGACCCCATTGTGTGTTTCCACTGTCCCCCTAGGAATACCTAAGCACCACACTTGCAGCTCTGCGTTCTAATCACATCCTTGCATTGAAGGTTTGTGAGAAAGAAATGGTTTGACCTTTACCAGTCCTGTTGCAAAAAAAAAGCAACAAAAAATGGATATTGCATACCCTGAACAATACCAAACTTTTTGTAACGTGTCTGTGGATAATCAGGAAGGTCACACTGGCAAAATGGACATCTAATCCCATGCCTTATAGTCATACCCCCTTACTGAGGCTTTTGCTATAGAGAAACGAGGCATTCTTTGCATTCTACCCAGCAATTTCTGATAATACCAGTAGGAATTCCAGGGTCATCAATCTAGAGCAGCTGTTCCCAACATTTTTTTTTATGGCCTTCAGCATAACTAGAATTTCCTAGCTCACTCTATAAGCCACAAATGCAGATGGCCATTGCAGGACATCAACATTAAAGTTAAGGTATGTTAATTTGGGTTTTGATTTGATTTTGATTTGATTTGGTTTTCTCACCTTAATTTACATAAGATTGCCAGCAAGAATGGCAAAAATCTTTTGAGATTTTAAGGAGAATTCCAGAAAACAATAAGTTATGGCCATCTTGTGAGACTTTGATGTTTTATTTTGATGACTCTATGGGGTACCACCGAAACTCAACTGTTTCCTCCTAAACTTTTTTTATTTTATGTATTCAGTATTTTTGTACATAGTAGAAGAGCTCCTGTCACAACATCCACCTTTCAGCACTGCTGTTTATAAATTTTCTTACAAATGGCTTCTCAAAATTTGCCTTCCCCAGTAATGGCAGACTTGAGGAATTGAGTACCAAATACCAAATGGGGAAGTTTTTAAAGTTATCTTCTCATCAGCAAAGTTTTAGTTCACATCTTTAGAAAATATGCAGATCTTCATATTTATAAATTATGCATAAATAATTCTCCAGAATCTCCTTTTACTGGAAATGATATAATCAAGCAAAGATTGAGACATAATAACAGCAAGAAGATCTCGGTCCAGTTTACATCCTTGAAACTAACAGCATTTCAAGGCACACTACCACAACGAGCGCTTAAATTTAGTGCCTTAACCAGGTTACATGTAACACATAATCATACAGACTCCAGTTTGGTTCATTCTCTTCATTTTTTTGATCTCCAAGGATCATGGCAATTTTGTTTCTGTGGTTCACTGGTTAATTCTCAATGTGGCCTTGGATCTGCTTCTAATTGTGGCCTTCTCAATCCAAAATTATGCTTCCAATATATCACCACAACATGTTCTCTTTTTTTAAAACCATCGCCCAGAATAATTGGATGGCAGGGCTGCAATATTGCAAAGGCATTTCATTTTGCAACAAGACTGGAACTTGACTTGCCCTAAAGAGCAAATGTCTTTAAACACGAGTAAAATATATATATATCTTTAGAGTGTCTACAGCTGTTGTCATGGGAGACCTTCTGGCACATCTCTATGGCCACAAAATAGGGATAGACTTCAGCCACCACAAGATTTGTTTCTTCTTGCATTTATTTTGATGAAAACGGTGGGGGGGGGGCTTCAGTTGTAGAAATGAAGTCCTAATGTGAATAATCAGTAGAATTATTGTAGCAGTAAATAATTTGCGACAGATGATTTTTGGATATCTTTGGATTGCTGAAGAGAATAGAAAATCATAAAGTGGCTACTCCAATAGCTCTTATCATGTTTAGTAAGAGAAAAACTGAAATAATTTATTTAACTCGGTTCTCAAGGGGGAAAAAAGCTTATAGGAACATTTTAAAAAGTCAAGTTAACACATAATTAACCTGCGGGGTCTTAAATTTCAGGCCCAAGTAGGCACAGAGTCAAATAATCCCATCTCATTTATGAACTTCTAAACCCAGTCCTTTAACCCATGGCAGCTTAATCTTCCAAAGAGATAGAGAGAAATAACAACTCCAAAAAGCAGGTCTCTCCATTACAGAACTCATTTCCAGGGCCTGGAAACACTGAACGCATCTCTGAAATACTGCCTACAATGGCTGAAATACATCAACTGTTTTCTGCCTGGCCAATAGAAAATGAGTTTACGATGTAATGCAATTTTGCCAGCTTGTGCAACAACTCATGAACCAGGCTCATTTTGTAGGAAGTGGGTAGAGACTTTGAATTTTTAAAAGAATAAATCTGGACCCAGTTAGTGTGACTGAATCCTGCCAGAATATTTGGTAACTTTTGACTCATTTGTAGCCTGGATGGATTAATTGAGTTATAGGCAATAGGCCCTATGTGAATTTCATTTTATGCAACCTTTCAGGAATCCACTCCAAAAGTAATCTCTTCTACAGGCTAGAGCTGGATACTTTGCTGAAAAGAGGTGCTTCCATTATCTTGCATGTCCTACTCAGTTGCCTGTTTCATTCATGGAATTAATTGAGGGTTGAGGAATTATACTCGAACCCTGTCCATATTTTTTGCAGCGATTCTGCTTATTTTATTTACACGTTAAATTCCAAATGCTAGCCCTTGGAGCTTGCCATCCAAGGCTCCTGTTGTTTGGATCAACATTGTAAGAATGTATTGACTACTAAGAAAAAGAGGAATATCTTATGAAAAAAAGCTCCAAAATTGTTAAGAAGGACATCTTTGTTAATAAGCAAAGAAAGTATTCTCTGAGTTTGCTTGCTTGAGGACATTCACGACCCAACTAGGTTATACCATCAGTCTGAATAAGGGTAGGGTTTGTACTCACTCACACTGCTGTTAACTAGTTGGGTAATAAAACATCTGCCAACAACTAAGCTTGAAAAACACCAATAACTCCATAGTTCAATCTGAGTTACAGATGTTCTTTTCCAAAGAGAAGTATATATAATAAAAATAGGAAAGTACAGATAGTGTGGCCAGATACTTCCTAACAGCAGCAGTATTCTTGATAGACTGAGAAAGAATTAAGGAATCTTTGTTGTACTGCAGTGGAACTTGGCTGAATGAACCGGTGAATTCATTATAAATTTTCCAAATTATATGAGTAGAAATTAGAATACTCTAAATCAGGGACGTCCAATCTTGGCAACTTAAAAACTTATGAAGTTGAACTCCCAGAACTTCCCAGACAGCTTGGAACAGACATGGCTGGCTAGGAAATTCTGGGAGTTGAAGTGCACAAGTCTTACAGTTGCCAAAGTTGGACAACCCTACTCTAAATTGTGAAGAGTGAAGCTGCTTCAGCAACACTCATGTTGTGGAAGTTAAATGGAAAACAGAAACAGATTGGCTCAGAGGCTTGCCACGAGGTGCCCAATGACAATGCTTTTTCCATCACCCCCTTCCTTGATATTGATGAACTCAAACTTACTTTTATTCCTTCCTTTGGTTATTTTACTTTTTCCCCTGTTTCCATTTTCTTCCCTGGCTGCTCTGTTTGACTTTTGATGCCCTACTGACATCTTTTGCCTTGTGACCTTTGGCCTTTCCCTGTGACCTTCTGGCTCGGTCTTCAGTTGTTGCCTCTTCTCAATTCAGTGCGACTGGCTCCGCCCCCAGTCATAAAGAGACGCACCTTCCAGGTATCCTTCTCCTTTTCCTCCTACTCCTGGTCTGTTCATTTCTGAAACTGATAATTAATCAGCTTCCTGTCTTCCTTAGGAGAGGGTTTCATTAAAACTAGAAAAAGCAAAGATTCCCTAGTGATTCAGTCACATCCCCATTTCACAGAATTGACAGATGGGGGTTTAATGCATTTGCACGCTTTGTGTAGCAGCTAAGCATGAACACGTGGTTGAGTGGTTACTTGTCTTGAAAATATTGTTAGACCATATAAGATCTTAGAAGAAAGAGTATCGCAGAGCAAGAATATAATGCTTTGGTTTTTTTTTTTTTTTGGTTTTTTTTTAAATAAGGGTTTAATTTGATTTTAGTGGAACCAATCTGTTTTACAATACAATCTACTAAGCAAAGGTAGTTCACTATCCAAGGCTCTTCAAAATTGCAAGTTTAAGACTTATGGACTTCAACTCCCAGAATTCCTGAGCTAACATGACTGGAGGAGGAATTCTGGGAGTTGAAATCCACAAGTCTTAAAGCTGTCAAGTTTGAAGGCCCCTGCTCTAATACCATAGTGAATAGGACCATTATTTTCATGAAAGTATAAACAATGCTTGACCACATCTACTGGGCCATCACTGAGTTTAGAGACAATTATATAAATAGCAGAATTGCGATTGGCAGAGATTTTATATGTGGACATCTAACAAGTCCTGTACCATCTCAGCTGTCCAGCAATAGCACCTTTTAATAGACAGAAGTCTCCACATCAACCTCATTTTGGGGAATAATGTTCTATGTGCTTTGGTAGATAAGGTTCAACTCAGCCAGAATGCTTGTATGAACAAGATGCCCATTCATGCAAAGTCTCTTGTTAGAGTGAATTATGCCTTCCGATGGTCTGGATTGGCCTTCCAGGATCCATCTGAAATCCTACTGGATAGCAATAGCACTTAGACTTATATAGTGCTTCGTAGTGCTTTACAGCCCTGTCTAAACGGTTTACTGAGTCAGCATATTGCCCTCAACAATCTGGGTCCTCGTTTTACCGACCTTGGAAGGATGGAAGGCTGAATCAATCTTGAGCCAGTGAGGATCGAATTGCTGAACTGTAGCCGGCAGTCAGCAGAAGTAGCTTGCAGTATTGCAATCTACTGTGCCACCACGGCTTATCATGGATGGAGGAAGAAGTCAGAGACCAAACAACACCCTCACCAGATGTCATAGGCTAAATGGAGCTATATTAAAATTTGTTTTGCTCCATCATACGTGAATTTAATGTGCTGTTAGGCTTCATTGAAAATAGTCTCATGTCACCATAAAGTATTGCATGATCAAAAGATGGAATTCCCTTGACCCAATAGGAGTAATTTCCCAAGTAGATTTTACCACTAGGGTACTTCAAATGCATAGCTACAGAAAAATTCATGTGATGTGAATTTTAGCATTAGATACAGGAAAATCCAAATAACAAGTTATAACACTTTATTGGATGGCGTTTAATATATGCACTCTCGTTTTCCCATCCAACTTCTTGTAATGGAAGTTTTTAAAAAGGTGGGAATGCACCATCAGCCAATCCACAGTTACTCTTTGCCTGAGTTTTGGAAACCCCCTTCAGATTCTTTCTAACAAGACCTTGTTTGGCTTTACCCGTGTTCCTTGTCTTAGGTTGTTATTTGTGCTCCCGTGTTATTTGGCTGAGTTTATAGTAATGTTATTCTCCATGAACCTCAGGGTGAACAAGGACAGGCAGGCAGCCAAGGGCCTCCAGGGCTACCTGGGCCCCCAGGACCACCCGGGACTCCAGGACCACCTGGCCCAATGGGCCCAGCTGTAAGTGTCTTTCATGTCTATGTGGATCTCCCTCTCTCCAAGAACCTCTAAATTGACCTTTTACCTCTATGTCTGACCCGTTTCTGAGGTTGCATCAAAGCCTTTGATATCTTCTGGAGGTTTTTAAGAAGAGGTTGGACTACCATTTTTCTGATAGGGTCTCCTGTTTGAGCAGGGGATTGGTCTAGACCAGGGATCTCCAACCTTGGTCACTTTAAGACTTGTGGACTTCAACTCCCAGAATTCCTCAGCCCAGCTTTCCTCAGAGTTGAAGTCTACAAGTCTTAAAGTGGCCAAGGTTGAAGACCTCCAAGGTCCCTTCCAACTCTACTGTTATTCTGCCATGAGGTGGCTACACAAGACTGCCAATTTCATGATTCCCATCTGTGAAAGAGCCCAGCTTGAGGTAATTATGGTTTGAACTCATTTCACTCCCAAGCCAACTCTTAAGTTAAGAAACTCTTCAAACGATGAAGAGTTTGTTGGCCTACTCAGATTTACTTTGATGGCCTGCTCAGATTTATGATACCTGTGGTATCTCAGAAAGGCTTGTTACTTTGTTCCCCTAGGGGAAAACCGGAGAATCTGGCAAGGATGGAAAGGTAAGCCATTTAATCATTTTTCTTGCATTTGTTTGCATTAAAAAATATTTTCTCAGAGCCTGAGAAGAACAACATGGAACACATGTTGAATTTCAGAGGTTGCATGGGTTAATAGATGAATTCCACTGCAAAGTTTTATTCATCAGACAAAAGTCATATTTCTCCTAGAATGAAGTTTCTGGACTCATTTTAGTCCTGGTTACATTGCATAACTGAGGGTTCAGCTAACAGTGAATGAAGGGAGACTCAGCCATTCCATGCAAGAGCAAAGATTTTTTTAAAATTAACTTTGCTTTAATTATGAAATAAAATCCCATTATAAGATTTCACATTTCATAATTGTCTAGCTGCTTGTGGGTGGCAAGGAATGAATAATTAATGTGCTATTTCATAGAAAGTTGATATTAAAAAAGATTCCCTGGCTCTATTTTTAAAGTTAGCTTTTAGATAAAACTCCACATGTTTGGAATTGAGCAAAAGTCAGTGAAAGTTTCACTTTCAATTCAGTTTCACTATTCAGTGGAAGACATCATTCAATCAATGCAAACAATGTTGAAGGTCAGATCTTATCCCAGAGCTTAAGATCCTTTGACCATTTTTGCTACTTTAGTGATATTGTGTTCCTTTTTCTTTAGGGTTTGCCAGGACTTCCTGGACCAAAGGTGAGTAAAATACCTTGAAATTAGCAGCGTCTTCTGAAATTTCAGCGCTTTGTGCATGAACATTGCATTAGCCAAAACATGGCTAGAAATCCAGTTGCCAAGATGAGATCAGTCCTAAGTGTTTCTCAGCTGAACTAGGAAAATGTTTGCAATTAAAAAAAGATTATTATTTTTTAAAGAATCCAGTTCTAAGATTAACCAGCTGTTTGAACATTCCCCAATGTGTTAGATGTTAATTTTCCTAATTCCCAAATTACATGATCTTAGAAACTGGGTTGTGGATTGCTTATACACTGGATCCAACTCTTAATGATAATGTATTTAACTGTGTGAAGTGAATTGACCTAAGGCACATTTTGAAAAACATAATTGACTTTCAATATTCAAAAGTTGGGAGAGAAGTTTAATAAGCTATGGGGTAGTGAGCGTACACAGAACTCTTTTGTTAGGACACAAAGAAATTGTCAATCAAAATCTAAGTATTTTTGTTTGTTTGCTAGTTTCCATATATTTCTCCTTCTGCTGCATGGCACTATCTTTCCTGTCTAAGGACAATTCTTCTTAACAACCAGATTCATGTGGATCTTAAAGGGTAAAATGGCTCTTAACTATGGATATCATAGTTATTTTCTTAAGACATGGATATCCTCCAGTGGTCTAATTCTCATCTTATTCAGTATCTTCTTCAGAATCTTGATTTGTGTCTTGATTTTCTTTAAAAGAATCTTTTGGTTTGAGTCTCCAGGTAGTTTAATTCACTCTATTTTTTTTCCACTTGAATTTATAGGGTGACCCTGGACTTCAAGGATATCATGGAAGGAAGGTATGAACAATATAAAAATTGAATTAGAATGTAGGCACATTTTAAATTCATCAAAATTGACCAGAGCCATCTCAGAATATGATACACCATTCTTCATCTTATGTATAGATATCTAACCATTTTCCTAGCCATGGCATTTACTTAATTTCTTTTTTTAAAAAAAAGTTTTATTAATTTTCAATAAACAAACATACACAAACAAAACACAAAACATGGAAACATAAAACTTCTTTTTGGAAAGCGGCTTAGTCCCGGGTTACATCTTTTTGTACAGACATAAATCGAATTCATGCTCACTTTATATACCATTTCATATCTTATTTACCATTCTACATTTTCTATATAGCTTCTCCCTTCTTTTCACTCTCTTAATTCTGTTTTATTTATTTCATCTCAATTTTCATCTCATTTACTTAATTTCTTACTGTGGGCATCTTTGACTAAGAGTGCCAGAGCCTAGGACTGTAGGAATTGTGATTTCCTCTTGAGCCCTTAACCAATGTTTTTCAACCTAAGAACTTTAAGTAGTGTAGATTTGACCTCCTGGCTGGGGAATTCTGGGAGTTGAAGTTCACACTTCTTAAAGTTCCTACAGTTGAGAAACACTATCCTGTGTGCATTATTGAGTAAAATTTGTTGTAAGAATATGATCCTGAAGATGTTTCCAATTTCTCCAGTGCTATTATGCTTTTTTGGTTGCTTAAGACTATTTCTGCTTGACAAGCTGATTAAATTTTGGTGCATCCATAAGAACACCTGACAGAAGTTCATTTGGTTACAATAAGCTTTTCCCATCCTTAGCAAGATTACGTATCAGAGAGGAAAAGTAACACACAAAAAATGCCAGAGAAGTGAGAGCACAATTTCCACAATTCTTCTGAGATAACATAATCCTACAAAGACTGATTTTACATCACATTAAGAGTATTTGCATTTGCAATACATTAAGAAGCTCTTTTACTTGGTTAATTCTTTTCAATTCTTTCATAACGTATTGGTAGTTATTCTTCCGCTCCATTTACTATGATCAATTTTATTTTGATTGGTAGCTTTTATTATACTGTAAGTTCAAGTGAATTTCACAGATTGATTAAGGCAGGATTTCATACTAAGGTCATGTTGCAATAATTCTGAAATCCAGCTATTAAATCTACTGTTTTGGCTCCTAGGGCTAAATTCTAAAATTTTATGATGAGTGCTGTTTCAAGGAAGGAAATTTAATTACAGTAATGGCACATAACTCTGTCATAACTCTTTCACGGTGGTGCAGTGGTTACAGTGCAGTATTCCAGGCTACTTCTGCTGGCTGCTGGCTGCCTGTAATTTGGCAGTTCAAATCCCACCAGGCTCAAGGTTGACTCAGTCTTCCATCCTTCCAAGATGGGTAAAATGAAGACCCGGATTGTTGGGGGCAATAAACCACTTAGAGAGGTCTGTAAAGCACTGTGAAGCGGAATATAAGTCTAAAAGCTATTCCTATTGCTATTATGGTAGTGATGAAAACTAGACCATAGTCTGCACATTTTAAGCATCTAAATCAGGGCTCTTCAACCTTGGCCATTTCAGGCCTGGTGGACTTCAACTCCCAGAATTCCCCAGCCAGTTTTGTTGTGTTGAAGTCCGCTTTGCTGGCTGGGGAATTCTGGGAGTTGAAGTCCACCAGGCCTGAAATGGCCAAGGTTGGAGACCCCTGATCTAAATAATAGGTTTGTTCAATCCCTAATCAAAGCTTATTGTAATCAAATCAATGAAAGCTTTGCAATGTAGGATCTCCATGACACAGGCATTTTTTTTCCAACAGAAGTTAGTATCTATACTTCTGGGTTGAACTCTGGAATCCTTGGTGCTCTCCGAATGCGATTGTTTGATTGCAGATGTTCTATTCTCCAACTAGAATGCACCTTCATACCTAGCTGGGTAATGAAACATCTGTAATCAAACAACCATGCTCAGAAAGCATCAAGGGCTCCATGTTCACTTCCCCTTAAATGGTTCTGGAAAAGAAGAATCTCTCAAGGCTGACTTTATCGACTCCTGATGGACAAAAATCATCCTAGCATTATATGCTGATATAATCATATCAGACTATCAGAGATGGATCAACTCAGTCTAATGTAAGTGAGAAGAAGCATGGAAAAGGAGACAAATATGTTTCAGACAGTGAAAAGGATAGAATGCTAATAAAGAGAGCAATTCGAAAGATAATTTTATAAACAGGAATTAATACTCTTGACAGTCTGCAGCTATGCATATTGTGCAACAGTTTGTGTACATTATTTGGCTGAAGTTGTAACACTTGGCAGACTTTTCTTGAAATCTGCATAAATCAAAGAGTGGTCCTTCTACAGAGAAGTGAACATCATAGTCTCTGTGGCCCAGATCCATCTTTACACATCTGTGTGCACAATTTATGGCCTCTTTTCCAATGACAATGATGTTTTCTTCATTAGCTGACTATGCAACACTTAGTGGCTTTACAGCTCTCAGGAGAATGAAGCCAGTCACTGATCTGCGGCTGTGTGGGCGTGCATCAGTGAAAGAGCTGTCTTCTTACAGTATAGGAAGGGATTCATAGGTCTGAGTTTTTAATCAGTAGAAGAAAAGGTTTGTTTTGACATAGGAAGAAAATCCTAGGATGCCTTTCTTATTTTATTACATTAGATTTATACCCCAATTTTCATTCAGAATCTCAAGGCAGCAAACACAATTGGCTTCTCCTTCCTTTTCCCCCCACCAGAATAACCCTGTGAGGACTGAGGTAGAGTGACTGGCTTAGAGTCACCCAATGAACTTTTTTGAATGAGATCCTGAATCTCCCATCTCCAGGGAATTCAACATCTTCACCACTACCTACATCAGGGATCCACAAACTTGGCAACTTTAAGACTTGTGGACTTCAACTCCCAGAATTCCACAGCCAGCTGGGAGTTGAAGTCCACAAGTCTTAAAGTTGCCAAGTTTGGAAAACTCTGATCTATATTGTTTCTGTATTGCTGAGAGAAAAGAAAGGCTAGAGCAGATGCCTCACTGAGATAGAAGTTCTTTCTCACCATTAAATTTCATTTTGTTAGATAGGGCCCAGGGTTCAAATCTGTTGAGATGCTTCTGAATCTTGAGTCTATCTTCTGGAGTGTTGGCTATTCCTGCCAGTTTGGTGTCATCTGCAGATTTGGTCAGTTCCCTTCTATTCCCTCATATAAATCGTTCATGAAGACATTGAAGATTACTGAGTCTAAGGCAGAAATTGGGATATGCCACTCCATATTTCTCTCCATGTAGATGTAGTTCCATTGAGGAGTACATGTTGAGTGTGGTTGGTCAGCCAGTTATGAATCCATTTGGTGTCAATGCTGTCTAACACACATTTTTCTATCTTACCCAAAAGTAGGTTGTGGTCTACTTTATCAAATGCCTTACTGAAGTCCAAGTAAATGACGTCCACAGCATTTCTCTGGTCCAACTAATTTAGTCACTTTGTCAAAAAAAAAATGCAATAAGATTTGATTGGCACGATCTCATTTTGACAAAACCTATGTTGGCTTCTGGTTATACTACCTACAATGGCTCTCTGATTATTGAGAGAAAAGAATGGTTGGAAGGCTGGAGTTGAACCTGAGATAGAGGTTCTTTCAAAACAGGGAAGGGAAAATTACTTTGGGAAAGACAACTTCCCAGCATCAAATGCAAACATTTCTTTTCTAGTGCTCTATTGTGTGCATCATTCTGAAACCACAAGGTAACATTGCTTTAAAAGGATTTTATAAGGAACATATAAAACCTAATCATCCAAGACCATTTCCTCCCTGCTGTGCTTTGCATTAACATGCTGACACAAAGCGAGAGCAAAAAAACCTAATGCTTCCTGTGCAGGATAATAACATAACCTGAAGATTCAGACAATAAGACTGACAAGCATTCATTGCTTTCAAAAGGAGGAATCCATGCCAGTTTGGTGACTGAGAGCGTACCTTGACTATGCTTTTCTAAGCATTGTTGAACTCTTCTTCATTCTCCCATCCCCTAAAAATGTAGGTGTAGTCTCCTAGTAAGAATCCTGCACTATGTGGTTTTTTTTTCTTACCCCAAAGCTTGCATTTTGTAAAGGTTCACTCTGTATTATTATTATTATCTCTTTTATTCATTAAACATGTACAGTGTTCCGAGTAGTGCAGTTTACTAGTTTTTGCAGTTTTGTTGGTGTTGCAGGAAGCTGCAATTTCTTGGTATATTTTGTAAAATTATTATTGTTGTTGTTGTTATTATTATCATCATCATTTTGGTTCATCGTTATGGTTCATTGCAGTCAGCCAGATGTTTAAATTGGATTTCACGTTTTAATCTACTTTCTGAGCCCTTCTCAGGAACTTGGAATAGGCAGATTTTTTTGATAGTGTTAAAAGGTATCGTCACAGGATATAAGCTGTTCCAAGTAATTCTGCCTTTTGTAATTGACCGATAAGAATTTTGTCAATGTGATGACATTCAAATAGTGCTCCAGTTGTTTTGGGATTGCAACCAAGGTGCCTATTACTTTTGGTACTTCTATTTCTATTTCCAGGCCTCTGTTATTTTGTGATTTTTCTCCAATTTTTCCTCTTCTATTTTGCTGTCTCCAAGTATTGCTATGTACACAATTCAGACTTTTTTTTATCTTTCTTATAGACAATTGTTAAGCCTGGGATGTTATATGGTGGGGGATTATTATTATTATTCATCACACAGTCAGCCAGATGTTCAGACTGAGTTTGGCATTTTTGTCTACCTATCGAGTCCTTACCAAGGATAGGCAAATCTGGATGTTTGATGGTGTTACAGGTATCGCCGCAGGATGGAAGCTGTTCCAAGTAAAGCTGCCTTCTGCAATTGACTGATGGCAAATTTGTCAATGCCAATGATGTTCAAATGGTGCTCCATTTGTTTTGGGACTGCACCCAAGGCACCTATTAACAATTGGTACTACCCTTGATCGCCTTTGCCATAGTTCTTTGTATTTTGTCATCTTCTCCAGTTCTTTCTCCTCTCTTCTGCTGTCTCCAGGCACTGCCACATCCACTATCCAGACTTTTTGGTCTTTCTTATCGACAATTGTTAAGTCTGGGGTGTTATGTGGCAGGTACCTGTCTGTCTGGATTCTGAAGTCCCAGAGCAATTTAACTTCTTCATTTTCTATGACTTTTTCTATTTTATGGTCCCACCAGTTCTTGCTTACAGGCAAATGATATTTCTTGCATATCTTCCAATGCACCATTGTTGCTACTTTGTCGTGCCTCTGCTTGTAGTCAGTTTGTGCAATCTTCTTGCAGCAGCTTACCATGTGATCCACTGTTTCTTCAGCTTCTTTGCATAGGCGGCACTTACTGTCGGTTCCTGTCTTCTCAATTTTTTATTATTATTATTATTATTATTATTATTATTATTATTATTATTATT